ACAGAAATGTTCACAGCAGGAAAATGACACTGTTGCTGGTGATGGGATTGCTGGAATCCCCAGCAAACATCTCGGCTCACCTTGAAGGACTGTGGAAGCCTGCAGGCTGCCTCATCTCGGCCCACCCTTACCTGCAGTCAGGGAGATGTAGGAGGTGGCCACTGTTGCTGGCAACCAGAATAACCTCTGCTTTGCTAGGAGCAAATGACAGAGAGTCTCTGGGCCAGACAGAGTGATAAATGCAGTGAGTTCACTTGTAGATACTGCATTATGCATACACAGAAATGGCTGGCCCAGAAGGAAAAGCCAACAATATGATCGAGCCATTCAAATAAGCAAAACAAAGGAAATAACAAAGGATAACTCTATTAAATTTTAAAGGCGACACATTTTCAAACGTCGGGACTAAGCAACACTTAAAGGTGATGATTGTTGCCAAGTTATTTGGAGAAAACAGGAGGCTATTCGGTTTATTTGTTTGAATGTGCCAACAATAATTCAGCAATCAGCAGGTTCTGGAGGGGTGAACTGAGAGGCCATGAGCAGGGCCAGGCTCTCGCCCTGTGCACCAACTTGCCGAGCCATGCTCAGCTCTGTGCTGCTGGCCCATGAGGGGACACGCTGTGGAGGAGGTGACTTATCTTACATAAAGATTGAGATGTGCTTCGCACACACGCAGATGGTGATGCTTCTCCTGCCACCCACAGCACAGATGGACTGTCAGTCATCACACTGAAAGCCATTCCAAGAGTGTTTCTACCCCAAGTCCATTGGGAAAGAATTAAGTGCTCTTATCCACCAAAAATATTGTAGAAATAAGTCTGCTATTTATATAGCTTGGCAGATGAGACACAGCAATAAAGCAGAGACGCTGAAGTCACCCTTTTGTTTAACACAAATTAAATCCTGCCCGCCCTCTGTTCCCTATGAGGAGCTGCAGGCCACCATGAGATCTCCGTCAGCCTCCTCTGTCTGTCCTGAGCCAACCAAGGGATCTCAGCCGCTCCGCATACATCTTACCTTCTAGACCCTTCCCCATCTTCATAGCCCTCCTTTGGACGCTCTCTAATCATTCTGTGTCCTTTTATTGTGGTGCCCAAAGCTGCACCCAGTGCTGGAGGTGAGGCCACGCAGTGCAGAGCACGGCAGGACAAGCTCTTCCCTCTCCTGGCTGGCAGTGTGGGCCTGGCACACCACCCTGGGTACAGTTGGCCCTTTGGGCTGCCAGGGCACACAGCAATCAATACATGCAGTAGTTTTAGTTTTGCACCTTTTCTAGTGAAGGCGGAAAGTGTTCTTACCACCTCTTCCTACCCTGAGGTGTGAAACCTGCACACAATGACTCAGCTAGAAAAGTGCATCAAGAAAAGCCAAAAGTAGGAGAATCCCAGAGGGCCAAAAGATAATAACAACAATAATAGTATAAAGCAGTAATTTTGCTAAGTGGAAGCCAGCCCAAAATAATTCATGGTAGGTACAAGCTTTCCTAGATGAGGTTTACTGCCTGGGAGGATGCAAGGGGCACTGAGAGGAAAGCGTTGCTCGACCCAACTGCCTCTCCCTGATAGACAGCATGGATCCATGAGGAGACAGTGATCTGTCTCCATGCTGCTCACAGCAGAGGGAGCAAACTCTAAATTACTCCTCATCACATGGAGGATGGCTTTGAGGCTGATAGCTCCCTGCAAGGCTTGGAAAGACATGCAGATGATGCTGATAGCCTGTGTCCTGCCATGTGCCTATCTCAAAAAGATGTTACTAAACTAACTAAAATATACATATAAAACAAAAGAAAAACTAGTGTTTATTTATTATTATTTCCTGAGAAATTGACATACAGGTGCTCTATAAATATTCTGACATGAGCTCCTGCACGTGACCATGTCAAAGGCAGCCTAACTGATCTCCCCACTATTTATTCGTACAGGTTTCTCTGCAGACAGTGTGACTCAGTGGGTTTTCAGTCCTCAGTTTGCACTACTCTAGCCTGCTCCCTGTTCTCTTCAGGCTACAATTCCGTAGCAAGTGCTCTTCCACTGCCAAGCAAAGGGATATCCATTAAGACAAGCATCATCTGTATGCTCACCCCTCCCAACACACCCAGGGCAGCTTGGAGCTGAACCTCTTTGGAAAAATTTATTTTCCTGGACACTTTGAGGGTGTCTGTAAGTTTAGGTCTATAGGCAACCGAGAATAACACTAGCATGAACTTTCCTATTACTTCCATGCTTCAGAAGTCCTGTCCCATTGGATCACAGCCCCATACAACCTGCAGCTGCTGCTCCAACACTGCGCACCTGTGATCCGGTGAACTCTCCATTTGATTCTTCCTCCCCCTCAGTCGTGCCAGTGAAGAGTACTCCTGCAGCAGCTGGCTGCTCCTTGTGCTTCGGCTAATTAAAACAAGATAGGAAATGGCAGCCAGAGGAAATCCTCTTGGACCATCCGTCTCTGTAAGCATGCCCAGGCCGGGCAGCAGTGAGCTTCAGCCCAGCTTGTTATTAGCATGCTGCCCTGCCCCGGGAGGATTTTGGATTTAATCCCAGCCATTTCTCTTTTTCCTGGACAGTGGGGCCAGACAGCACCACAGAGATTACTGTATTTGCTCTGGGAGCATAAACAAATGATATGGGGGTGGAAAGTGTGAGTCTCTTGCACAGCACAACTTGTCAAAAGGAGACCCTTGAGCTTGCTTGATTAATAAACTCTTTTGGAAATAGTACAACCCAGCCCTTAGCCCTGACTTCCTGCATGTGAGAGATGCATCCTCAGCTACTCTGTACAAAAAACCTGCATTAAAAAAAAAAAAACTTTAAGCAATGCCAGGCTAGCATTCCTTTTGATCAATGAAGTGGCACTGACAAAGTCCTACCAGGTCTTCTTGAAATGGGAAGCCTGGAGGCTGTGTGAGAAGCAAGAGAAGCAAACAACCTGTGGGACAGGGGAGGATGGGGATTAAAATGGAACAGACCTGCAGATGGCAAGGTTATTAAAAAGAAAGAAAATTCATCATGGTAAGATGCTAGCACTCCAGTGCAGGTCTTGAGGTAGCATAAATCAGCATAATATTACCATGCCTGATTGAGGACAGCTACAGGTTGGGCCGTGCTCTCCCAACGTTGCTTGCTGCAGGAAAGCAGATATTCAGGGTAAGTCATCAAAGCTCTGGTACAGACATTCACATACTGAGCAGGTGTTGGAGGCGAATAGTAACATTACCTTCTTAATTTCTGTGTTCAGCTCCCTCAGAATTCGAAATGGAAAAATCCTTTGTTTCCATCTCATACAGTATTCACAGCACTGACAAGGAAGACAGCTTGAATGCACACTTTCGGCAAGCATATTTGATTATCTTCTGGAAAAAAAGAAGACTCTGAATGCAAGAAACTTTTTCAGGCTCGAGATAACAGTGTATGGAAACCCACATACATGACATTATGGCTCTGTGGCCAGCTTTGTTGATTAGAACCATGAGGATACGGGTAGAAAATCATTAATGTGCTGCAAGCAGTCTGCAGACATTAGAAAACTGGCAATCATGTGAAACTAATTTTAAGTGAAAAAGGATGGCCTACCGACTGTGGGCAAAGAACTGCTAAAAAAGGCACTCAGAAAGATGGGCAGGAGAGCAGCATGCAGACCAAGAGCCCGCCCATGACAAAAAGTGGCTATTAAGACCACAGGCAGCTCATGTACCTAAAGGAAATCACTTCTGGAAACTAATACAAAATGAATTCTGACTACTGAATGACTTCAGCCTACTGAAGGCTTACTGAACACTGACTTCGTAGGGCATTGACACTACCACCCTTGCAACAGCCAGCAGAGAACAGCCCATGGCCATGGGGCTACATTCAACTTCAAAGGCTGTAGGGCTGTGAGGCTGCAAAAAGCCCTGCTGTGAGCAGGAGCAGCAGCCAGTGAGGTGCTGGAAGCCACAGGATGGCTTTCCCAAGAAGCCCCATCTCACATCTGTCTCCTCTTTATGAAGTTTTCCTCATCTGAGCTCTGATGCATGTGCTACGTGACATGCAGGCAAATGAAGACTCTAGGACACACCATACATACTCACTTACTTCAGCAAGAAAACCATGTTGTTCTAAGAAAACAACAGCCAGAGGATTCAGGCACCACTTCAAGATATCAGGGCAACAAATAATAGTGGGCAAGACTACAATGGTGAAGCGAACACAGACTTTGACAGACTTTGGGGTTTTTTTTGCCTTTACATCATAAAAAAACTGAAAACGAAACAAGACATAATGAAAATGAATTCACAGAAGCAGCAGTAGCCTGAAGGTCCAATGTTGTACTGTGGTGTTTCACTCATTTTTCAACCCTCCTTTTTCTTGTCTGATTTTGGTACCAATGTTTTTCTCCTCCTCTCACTGAAACTCATATTATAATCCTGCCTTGAGATGCTCACCTACCAGTCCATCACTCGGAAAGCAAGCCATTTATCCTTCTGCTCAGACATCCATCCAGACCTTGGCAGGACAGCAGGGAGCAGAGAGAGAGAGAGTAGAGCAGTTTTCCTGTTGCTTTAATGTTGGTTATAAGCTATGGAGCGTGCTAACATCGATCAACAAAATCCGTTCACACTTCTGTCCCTTTCTTCCTCTCGCCCTCAAGGGCCCACACCTCCAGCACAGACCTTTCTTTTATTTTTCATTCAGCCTAATGCAACAGCACCCATGTAACTGCCACTGCCTGACTCTGCTTCCTTTCCTTCCATCAGCTAAATGTGTGCCCAGAAAGCCTCCCCATGGGTCCTGCCTGTCCCTTAACAAAGCGTGTACTTATTAGCAGCTGATCTCAACAGAAGACACTGATCAGAAAACAAACAAGGATTTTCTTTGAGAGGATTTTCATGCAGATAACCTCCTTCCCCACTGCCTCTTTCCAACCACCCCTTTCCCTTCCCAAAGAAATGTTTATAACACACAAAATGAAAACTAACACTAAAACACAGTAAGTTCTTCTACCCATTCCAACCTCCCACCTGCTGCTCCAGCCTTTTGTGTTGGAAGCAACGTGCTACTCTGATGGGACAGTGTATAAGACACGTGCAGTGATTTTAAACACAGCGCTGACATTGTTGTCTCCTTCCGTCAAAATAAAAAAATAAAAATAAAAAGCTACGCCATACACATTTCATCACAGCAACAGACAGATCTATCACAACATGCATTTCGACACACGATATAAAGCAAAAATGCCATGGAGGTTTACAGCAGTTTAATGAAAGCTCTCATACCAAATCCTTAACTCAACCTTACAGTTATTGAAAAAAAATAATAACTTACAATGAAAAAGCTGATGAGAACTGCTCACCTACCCACGGAATTAACTGCGGATTAACGCTGTGCTTAGATACTCACCACACAATAGAAACAAATTTAAATCACGACTGAGGTACACACGATTCAATTCCATTCTGTTTTCAATTACATGTATTCATGTAATATAACCTCCGCAAGTTCTCTGAAGAACAGAGTTGTTTTCTTTATTTTTATTTTTTTTCTAACACCCACTGGAAATAAATACCATTTAAAGAACACACACACACAGAGTGCAGTCAAATGGACACTGAGGCACTGGTACAGTCTAGTCCTCTTCAGCCCTCTACAACTACCAGACCGTCAGTTTTAAACCACAGAAGGCATGGAGGGCAGAGCTGTACAGGTAGTGCACAGGTTATGTACTACACAAGAGCACATCTGCAAAAGGTCCCAAGAGATTTTTGTTGAAGATGCAGCGTATCCACACCAGGTATATTGTGAAGGGCTTAATGTTTTCTGAGAAGGTATGATTCTGATGGGACAATATATAAGGCATGTAAGTGTTTTCCCCTTGCTCTTGTATCCACACTTCATATTTCACTTCTCTGACCTTCAGGTACTTAAGGTTCCAGGGCACCTGCCAGGACACAGAAAGCCTAGCTTCACTCGTGCCCTGGACAGAGGCCTGACACCTGGCATCCCTCACTTTGCCAGGGTAGAGGCTACCAGACCATTTCTTCTTAGTCCCGGGCTTAGACTTCACAGTCTGCCTGATGACATGGATGAGGGAAGGGATGTCCACCTTCGTGTCCTGGTAGGCACGGAACAGCCACTCAGGGTTGCGGCAGCACAGGTGCCGCGGTACCTCTGTGCTCTTAATGATGCGCTCTTGCTCAGCTTTGTCGAGATGTGCAATCCCACCCTGATCCCAAGGTCTATCCGGGTAGGTAATGGTGTCTTCCCTGGCAGTGTTCTGCCAGGCAATGTACTGCAGGTCCATGCCAGGAAGTGTTGCCAGGGTTTTGTAAGGGGTATAGTGTTCAGGGTTGATGGCATAAGGAAAGAGCTCCACCACCGTGGCACCTCTTGGCAGGAAGAGAGACATCACTAATTGGGCCCCATGCATGCTGACCAGCATGGACGCGTTGCTGATCAGCCGGACGATGTCAGGAAAGGAATGCTCCTCCAGAGAGACTGTAATGGTTTTCATCTGAAACTCCTGGGCGAGGGCCAGGATTAGTTCTGCCTCATTTAGGATAAGTCTGTTGATTGTTCGGCTGAACACGACGATGTATTCCTCACTGGAGCTTTCTTCCAAGCTGACGTTCAGCTTCTGCATCATGAATTTGGTGAACTGCCTGATCTCGTTACCAGAAACCAAGATGTTAGCCTTCGGCCCTTGCGGCTGGACAAATCCATATTGGTACCAGGTGGTGATTTTGGACAGTCCCACATAGGATTTGGTAAAGCAGAGGAGCCTGCCCAGGGTTTTAAGCTGTTCCCTGAGGAGCGGTTGCTTGTTACTCAATAACTTGTAGAGGTCAAAATGAACACCTTCACTCCACCCTTCCATGAAGAAGAGCCGTGTCTCCGGATCTAAATCAGTGAACTGCTGCATGGTGTAATAGATGGGAAGGAGGTCATCGTGAAAGACATGCATCAAGTTGTCCGGGTTGAACCTGTTAGCAATCAGTGCCACGTCAGGCACGAAGACTGGCTTTGGCATAAACTTCAGCGCGGCAGCGGGCAGCTCCACAAAGTTGAAGTACTGGGTGTTGTGATCTTCCACAGAGGAGAGGTCGAGCAGAGCTGGCTGGAACCTACGGGAGCCCAGGTTGGGCAGCATGACCGAGGAGTTGCTGTGGAAATAGATGAACTCCTCAGCCTCGGTTGAGTAGCAGAGGGACTCAAAGCGGCAGATGCGGTCGGTGTGCATCCTGCCGGTGCACACCATCCTGGTACCGTCCTCCAGCAGGGTCTGGAGAGCTGCATGGTAGTCAATCTGAACCTGAGAGAGCTCCTGAGACTGGCGCATGAGGAGCAGCTCCTCTTCGACCATGAAGGCATGCTCTCGTAGTTTGATGTATTTCCACAGCACGGTAGCAAGGACAGACACGAGCAGGGCATTAAACACAGCCGCTATGTTCATTCTGTAGTTAGATCCTAGCAAGATGACAGGTGGGGAATGCAACAGAAGGGGAGCACATCATTAACACTCCTTGACATGGTGAAGGCAAAGACCTGTGGAAAATAAAATAAGAAAAGAACCATTTAAACATCAAGTTTACAGACTTACATAACTCACATTTCATGGACTATTCAAGAGTATGGGGATTTTTCAGCATTTTTTCTTCTTCAAGGGGAAAGGGAGAAAGTATGCCAAAGCAGTACTTGAAAATGGAAAAAAAAAAAAAAAAAAACACAAAAAGAAACAAAAGAAACTTTCTTCTCTCATTTTCATTTCTACCCTTGTGGAGAAGATTAAAAAAAAAAAAAAAAGGTTGAGGATGAGCTCCATGAAGGTTTGTTAGAGAAAAGGTTACTTTCCCTGGGACATTGGCTTACTCTGTTTTTTGCAGACCAGTCCAACAGCAAGAGGACAAGCAGCATCACAGTCATTGGCCATTCTGACAGACCATGGCCACTCTGTCCCTCACCTTAAATGTAATTAATAACAGATAATACAACAAGGAGTGTTACCACAAATCGATTTTGATACATTCCATTCCAATATGAAGTGTGAACTGTTGAACATAATGCTCTGTTACTGGGGGGTGGAGGAGGACCAGAAAAGGGTAATTAAGGGTAATTAAGCTGTGAGGGATCTGGAGCACAAGTCTGATGGGAGCAGCTGAGGGAGCTGGGATTGCTCAGTCTGGAGAAGAGGAGGCTCAGGGGAGACCTGATCGCTCTCTACAGCTGCCTGAAAGGAGGCTGTGCTGAGGTGGGGACTGGTTTCTTCTCCCTGGTAACAGCAATAGGATGGGAGGGAATGGCCACAAGTTGCATCAGGGGAGGTTCAGGTTGGGTAATAGAAAACATTTCTTCTCAGAAAGAGTGGTGAGGCACTGGAATGCACTGCTCACAGAGGTGGTGCAGTCACTGCCCCTCGAGGTGATTAAGGAAAGGGCAGACATAGTACTTAGGGACGTGGTTCAGTAGGCAATATTGGTGGCAGGTGGACAGTTGGAATAGGTGATGTTAAGAGATCTTTGCCAGTCTTAATGATTCTATGATCGCATGATATGCTGCTGTACCAGCTGCCTGTGGGAAACTATCAAGTCTCTGCCATTTCGTTGGCTATAATCCAGGATCACAGGCTGGGAGCTGCCAACATTTTCCAGAAGAAGCAATGGCATAGGAGAGAAGAGGGCTGCACTCTTTAAAGAAGGAACTGATGTTTTATTGATGTAATCAAACCTTCACTGACTGAGAATGTCTGATATGCACCAGCACAGCTGATCCTTACACAAAGCTGAGTAATACATTACAATGTTTCCAGCACTTCCCAGTGTCTTCCCATTCCAGCCCCAGTCTCATCTGTGCTGCTACGTGTCCTCCCTGTTTCTTTTCCTTAAGAAAACAGGAAGCCACTGTTTTCTTTCTAAGCAGAAATGCTACTGGCTTATATCAGAGCATTGATTATATTTTCAACTGTGAACTTCAATTGAGATATTGATTCACCTACAGTATTTATGGGCTCCGATCTTCATTATGCATCAAGGTTCACTGCTAGTCAGCCTGTAGATAATGGTGGTCATGACTCATGAGGAACTATAGGAAGATAAATTTCTCATTGCTACATACCTGATTAGTCTGTTTCTAATTGCAGTTTTTAAAGAGTGCAATTTAAACTCCCTTTGATGCAAGTTCATAGAGAGGGAAAAAAAGCAATAGCTCAAGCACATGCTACAACATCCCAAGCAATGGTCTCTTAGCATTTTAATGCAGAAACACTTTTCTTATATGCCAGAGTGGAGGAAGACAGCAAGGCACATTTAGGACATACGCAAACACTTCTCTACTGCCAAGGGAGTTCTTTTGAAAAGAGATATTGCAGCTTAAATGTTTGATCTTACAGTCTGATTCATGCAGCTTGGAAATGAATGGAGAACCATTCATGGAATTCAATAAGGTTAGAAAGAATCCCCATAGCCTGTGGGATCCCTACAGCTTGCAGGATCCCTGTCCTAACTAAGAACTGAAAATACCTGAGAGACTGAATGATGCCTTGGAAGCAAGCGCAGGCTGTAAGCCATGCAGATCCTAGAGGTAGTCTCTGGGGACCTTAGCAACAAATTCATTTTGTAGCAGCTTTAATGACTCACAGGAAATAGAAATGAAGCCCACCTCCTTTGGCAAGTAGTCTGAAATACTGGGTCATTTAGCAACTCCCTAAAAGCAAACAGCAAATTAAAAAGGTGCTATTTTGACTTCAGCCATGATAAAGGAAGGCAGAAAGGACACAGAATGGTCATCTAATTATTGAGGCATGATCATCTCCCTATACCACTCCCAGAAGACGTTCTTCTTAATATTCATTCAGCTTTTCAGCCAGCCTGTAGCACTAATGGCATGAAGGATTACCATAAACTCTGTCCTAACTCTCAACCTTAATTTCCTTGGCAGCAATTTAAATCTGGTCTTGTCCCACATGCCACAGATATCCAGCACAGACGAACAGTCGCTGTCACATCATCTCTCAAACACATCATCTCCAGAACAGGGGATGACTGATGCTCCTGACTGCTCTGCAGCTATCAGCTATGGCTGTTCTATGGCCAGCCTTGAATGGAAACCTACTGAGGACAGCAGTGCATCACTTGGTGTGCTTTCAGGCCCAATGAATGCAATCAAATCAATTCTCAGGAAAAGAACCATCCTACCCTTCTTAGGTGTTTGATGGGAACAGTTCTTATATTATTTTAGTGGTTTAGTGAGATTTCCAAAGCTTCATTTTTCATCTTCACTATAGCTGAATGACATTCTGGTACCACCCAACTCCCCACATGACATCTCCACTGCACACCTCAGCTATTGAGAGTGTGCTGCTTTCAATGGCTTCCGCAGCATTACCAAAGAAAGGACCAAGTCCAAACAGATTTGTGGAGACAACAAGAGTTGCAAGAACTTGGCAGAGGAGAACACCACATGGCCCTTTTATTATTCCAGTCTGGCAGGGAGTGTGTGTTGGAGGGTATTTCAGAGGCATTAGAAACCAACAGTCATAACACATCACTGACAGCACCTGCATTTCATGGGCATCTCGGGGGTGGAGAGCTCCAGCAACCATTACAAATCCATTGAGCCATACAGCCTATTCTAATGTTTCACCCTGACTGATTTGTTCTCTCCCCTCCAGCCCCAAGGGAAGGGCATAAGAGGCACTTCAGAGATGCAGCCCGACGGATGCGGCTGATGTTCAGAGGTTAGCAATTTTCATTTCAGACTCTACTAAGGCAATACCTGCTAAATGGCTACAAATGAACTACTCAGCTTTTTAATAAAAAACACCTGTTTCCTCCATCTCTTCCCTGGCTGCAGCTCTTTCACTTCCTTACATCTTAGCTAAAACAAGTGTATATGCTTTATCTGACCAAGTGTCAGCAATGAATATTACAAGCTAGCAGTGCTGAAGGAATTCATCTTTATTCTTTCTTCTAGCTGCTGATTTGTAAATCCTGGTTCATGCTGCTTAGCTGAGAGCTGCTTTTGATGGAAGTGAACAAGGGAAAATGGACAGCAATGGGCTGTCATAGGCAGAACTGAAAAGAATTTCACAGGTACTCAGGAAACAGTCTTGAATCTTTGCCTGTTTTCTCACATTTTATCATCCACTACTTTTTATTTGATGCTTGCAGTGTACACCACGGAGAATAAAACCTCTGGTCCCTCAGGGAGCAACAGAACACAAGCAGCAGCATACCGTGCCACCTGTTTGCTCCTGCACACCTAGGAGGGGCTGCATCAGGGAAGCAAAGGCAAGCAATTACTCTCCACGTCCCTTGAGGCTGAAATTCATCAGTTAAGTGCTACCAACAGCAATTGTTCAGGCATGGGGAACCTACCCAGTAGGCAGCACGCAATTCTGAAACAGGGGAAAGCATTTAGTCTTCCACGTAAATGTAGCTGCTTCACTATAAAAGCTACCTTTGTTACTAAACCTCCCTCACAAAATGGGTCTACAGCTGTAACTCGCCTCCCACAGTGTCACTGGAGAACATTTCGAGAACTGAAATGCAAACAGTTGGCCAGATGCACTACTGCTTTCCCTAATCTCAAAGCCCTCCGTGCTCCGCTTCTTTCTGCATATGTGTCAGCATGTGGACTGGTCACACCTCCAGCTGCCCACATACTGGCCCTGTGCTGGAAGAGCTCACCCCATTCTCCATCTCTCAGCATCATCCTCTTTGCCAAGTTACTGCTCCCATAGCAGTGAGCACTGGTGAGCAGGTAAAGATTCTAGAGCATGCATCTGGTGGGCTTGGTAAGGACCCCGTGACACTTGTATGTCTGTGGTACTCTCAGTGGTGTTCAGAAGTGCTGATGTGCCTGAAGGTAGGAAGGCCCTACAAAGGATCGGGACAGGCTGGATCAGTGGGCTGAGGCCAACTGTATGAGCTTTAACAAGACCAGGTGTTGGGTCTGCATGTTGGTCACAGCAACCCCGTGCAACAGGCATGGGGAGAGTGGCTGGAAAGCTGCACAGATGAAAAGGATCTGGGTGTGCTAAAGGACAGCCAGCTGCACATGAGCCAGCAGTGTGCTCAGGCAGCAAAGAAGGCCAACAGCATCCTGGCTTTTATCAGAAATGCAGCCAGTAGGAGCAGGGAGATGATCATCCTCATCCTTGGTACTCGGCCATGGTGAGGATGCACCTTGAATGCTGTGTTCAGATTTGAGTGCCTCACTGCAAGAAGGACATTGAGGCCCTGAAGTGTGTCCAGAGAAGGCCAACGAAGCCATGAGGCACAGGCTGCCCAGGGAAGTGGTGCAGTCACCATCCCTGAAGGTGTTGAAGAACCGTGTGGATGTGGCACTGAGGGACGTCAGTGGGCATGGTGGGGGAGGGTTGGTAGTTGAACTAAGTGATCTTAGAGCTTTTCTCCAATCTTAATGAATCTGTAATTCTATGATTCTGCCTTCTAACTGCTGGTCATCTGATTTGCTAACCATCTCCAGGAGGTGCGAAAGCAACAAGAGGTATGGATGGAGAAGCTGTTCCTCTCTTATTAACACGT